GTTTCTTGTTCAACAACTAACTCATTAAATATTCAATATTACACTTGATGATAACTCGCTTTATAATATATTATATTATTTAATAAAATTTAATTAACTAGAATTTATTTAATTATAGATTTAATAATAATATATTATTATATCAATAATATTTTTTAATTAATTATTAATTATATATTTATTTTATTAAAATTTAGGTGTTAGATGTGAAAATATATAATATTTGTGTGGTATGTATGAAATAACTTTAAAATTAACTTTAAAGTCCCACAAACCTCACTTTCCCTCTAGCCTCTCACAGTTTTGTGTTTCAGAATTTCGCTCGAAACATACGAAACCCTGAGTTGTCAGAGTATGCAAATATCGAAGGCAACGACAAGATCGCGATGTGCATGGATTTCTGAAACTCATCTCTCGTATAACTCGCCTTTTCACTCTGCTCATAAATTTAACCAAATATAAAAGCGGTGCTAAGAAAGTGCAGTGCAGTGCAATTATTATAAGTTATATATGATGAAGAATAAGAATGATGCAACAATTCAATATGAAAGATATCCACAAATTAATCCAAAAAAAACTAGGAAAAATGAGAAGTGCATATCACTATGACAAATCTAACGCCTACATTTGAATGTGACAGTTGGGTGCAAACACAGAAACATGATTATGATCATGTTGAAATATGAAATATTACATCTCAAATGATCATGGTTCATGAATTATATTTCATTTTTATATAATTTACAATAAATAAAATAGTATGTGATCAGATTTATAAAATTATTTATTGACTCATTCCATTAATATCGAGTATTCATCAATCCCTAAATGTACTAATGTTTGTCTGATAGAATCTTTTAATCTCGAAAAAGATCTGTAGCACTTTTCTTCTGCAGTGGCAATCAACTGTGATACATTCCTTGATAATACAGTGAATTCTACTTCATACTTCAAGCTTGTCTTCTTCTTGTCTTAACTTGATGAACTTTCCTACATTTGCCATCGAGCAGATAGGGGTGCAAACCACCCTAAAAATGTCCACGAACTCCTTCCAACTTATACTCATATTGGGTATGTCTCTTAACCTGTCTTGACGCTGTCCACACCACCACCTTTCGGCTCTCCATCCAGCATAAAAATCGCAAACGGTATCCTTCTTTCATCTAGACAAGCCATGTTATTTAGTATCTTCTCTATCCCCATTAGTTAATTCTCCACTTCAATTTGATATTCAGTTCCCTTGAACAAAGATGGACATAGATTTTGAAATAACTTTAGATACTTATCCACAGCGATTGTATAACTTCAATAGGTTGCGATCTTGACTCCTGAATCAGCTAAGTCATCGTTGCTATCATTCAGGTGAAGACATTTGTGTTCAAATTAATAATAGGTGGTAGTAATTCATTTTCTATTAGATTGTCCTCTTCTATGATTTCGGGTGTATCACTGTGTCTGAATGGATAATAATTAATCCTTTGAGTTATCTTTAATTTTTACAATTATTAATTTTATTTTATAATTATCCTATTGGCTCTTTCATCATGATTTTATTACTTAATCCCAAACAATGAGTTTTAATACCACTTTTGTCACGACCCGACCTGAGACTTGGAATTAATATAGATAAGAACAGACGGTCGGATGGTAGGTACTAAATTTTTTATATTCTTCTACAATTTAACAAATGAAAGTCACTAATCAAATTAAATTAAAGCAATATATTCAAAATTACCTCGTAATTGATTGTTCGCATCTTTTATAAACGTTATCTCTTTTTAACGCTTATTGTTCATCATTTAATTAACTTGAAAAGTTAGTTTAAAATTAAATGAGCTAAACAAGTCAGTGAACACTCATATTCATAAACTACAGTAATGCAAGAGAAAATGAAGCATTAGCTATGTCAGTCAATTTTTAAAAAAATCAATAAAAATATTTAATGATATTCAAAGAACATTGTTATATCAATCGCATATCAATGTCATTTTATGTATGTACAACCGTTACAAGAGCACCTTCTGAAAATTATGTCAATTAAGACAGATATAAATATCATTTTCATATGCTACACGAGTAGCTTAATGTTCTCTCACTAGTATTATCAATGGGTGACTCAATCATAGTCAAACATATACACACAATCACTCTATGTATATTATATATATCTTAATTTCATATCACTCAACATGTAATGCTATAATGCATCAATTACTTCATAATATGTGACTAAGCATTTGTATCAAGATAAAAGATAAATTTTAATTAAAGAAAAATCAATTTCAATATTAGTTATAGAAATTTTTATTTTTCAGTGTTCAACTATTTGTACTCACGTTGGTTAATTTCAATCTCTGTGTGCGGTTGTGACAAAAGTGATATCAAAGCCAAGGTTTAAAATTAATGCAATATTGACGAATGAGCCAATATGATAATTATAAAAAATAAACTAATAATATTAAAATCAAAATTTTAAGTTAACACATTAATAACTCAAGCAAAGTGATGCACCCAAAATTATTGAAGAAAGGAGTTCGATAGAAAACGATGAAGTACAACTAACTGTAAATGTGAACACGAATAATCTGACCCAGATGATAGTTGCGATGACACAATTGATTCGGGACCCCAGAACACAGATTATTGGGAATGAGACAGTTGCTAGTGGATAAAAGATATTTCAAGATTTGCGTCCACCATTATTTGAGGGAAGTGAAGATTCAAATGTAATAGAGAATTGGCTAATGCAAATTGAGAAGATATTGGAAATTATGGCCTGTCAAGATGAAAGAAGTGTCATTAGCTATATTTATACTGGATGGAGAAACTGAAAAATGGTGGTGTGCTCAGCATCGTGACAAAATAAATGACATACCCAACATGATAATAAGTTGAGAGAATTTTGTGGAGCTATTCAGAGAGTGGTTTGAACTCTTATCTGCTCGAAGATAAATGCAAGACAAATTTATTAGATTAATAAAAGGAGGGAAGACGGTCATGCAGCATGAAGCTGAATTCATTATAAATGGTATGCGCTATAGTTGATCGTTACAGCAGAAGAAAAGTACTACATATTCCTTTTGGGATTAAAGGATTCGATCAGATAACTTTTTATGTTTTTAGGGATCGACGAATACTCAGTATTAGTGGAATGAGCTGGAATAGTGGAGATCGATTATCCGTTCACTCCAAAGTGTAAGGAAAAACACAAGAAGAAGAGTACTGGTGAAGGAGAACATGTGAACCAATTAGAGAGATCTAATCAGAAGAAGTCTAATTTCAACTCAAGTGGATTTAGTAGATGTACGACTCAGAATACTGTAATCGCTTGTGTCAAATGCGAAAGACAAAATAACGTGAATGTTTGATGGGCTCTAACATGTGCTACTGATGTCAGTCTGGTCATATCGTAAAATATTGTCCATTGCTTAGCCACAAGAGCATTAAAGATAAGAAATCAGATGGAGCTCCTTCACAGAAGACTGTAAGTGGGCAAAGAATGATAGAGTTTATAGCTTCAACTCCTACCCTAATTCAACTAAGACAACATGTTCGACCTCGAGTTATAGCTTCAACTCCTACCCTAATTCAACTAAGACAAATGTTTGACCTCGAGTTTATTCTCTTACTGATAGTGAGCCTGAAGAACCTACTATTGTTGATATGATGAGTGATAAAAGATACAATGTTTATAGCAGATACGGACAACTAGTAATGAGGTAAATTTAATTGTATTTTTTTAATTTACTTTCTTTAATGGCTCTTTCATTAATTAAATATTAGTTATAGAAAATTTTGATTTTCACCCTCCAACCATATGTACCCACTTTGGTTAATTCTAAGACCCGGGCCAATCATGACAATATTATTCCAGAAAACTCACATTTTATAAAAAAAAAGTACAAACTCCTTAAGGAAGAAAATTTCAATAATAAACATTATGTTTTTCTACTTATGATGCTCATAAAAATAAGTAAAAATATATTCAAAATATAAGTAAAAAATAGGCCAAAATAGCTAGTGCCAACACCAACTATGGTTTAAAGAATCTTATTCCAAGAACAAGAGAGGTATAAGAAGAGGAAATAAAACTTCCTGGGTTGTCAAGAATCATTGCTAACGTTAATCTATAGTTTATGCAACATCAATGAGGATCCGTGTTGATCTAATTGGGAAGAAGAAGATGAATTTGTAAATTAGACATAAAATGAAAATCATACGGTCTATTCATGCACACTTTCATTCACGAGCTTGCATCATTGGAATACTTATGACATGTACAAGCCGTCTCTACATCTGCATTGCTCTGATTAATAGAAATTTAGAAAAGCATCTCTTGTATAGCAATAATAGAAATTAAACAACTATGCTACATTGTATGGGGGAATGTGATTGATTACATTATATGAACTTCCCTAGAGAAACTCGGGTGATTGAAAAGTTTATTTTAGGAACACCTTAGACTTTCTTGTTTTGGGGAATGTGATTGATTATATTTTCCAAAAGTACAATGTGGTTTGCACATACCTATTATTAACATTGAACAGATGATGTTTTCCATCTGATTAAACTAAATTTTGAATAGCCCGGGACTATTTAATGGCAGCAGAATATATATATCACTATCTTTAGTTTCTGACAAGGCTACATTGGGCTTGAAACCATTTAGAAAGGGCAAAATATGCTTGGGCCAAGCTAGAAGGTGCATTAACTTAAATCCAAAACACAAACAGAAGCGGGATGCATTGAATCTGACGTGATGGTGTATATCCTTTGCACTTCGTTCCGAGATGTTCTAGTCTCATTTTCCAATTATTGTGTTCGATAGCCCGATCATTATCATAGAATAAGCGATATAAAGTATCAATATATGAGCGCTACAATGATTTTCATTCCAGATAGCATCATCCTTATGATTATTCGTCCAAAGAGTATCATCCAATGTACAAAAAGAAAGAGAAATAAAACCATGGAAACTTTCTAACATAAATGCAACTTACCATCCTGCTTACAACAGCAGATTTCCTCCAAAATCCTGCCGCACGCTCCTGGACAAACTCATGATGAGGCTGAGAGAATCTTTGATGGCTGTCACTGCACGAGACTAAAAATAGATTTCATATGAAGTTTAAGGAATAATCACAAATATAGTATAAAAAGATTGCAGGCCCGTCAAAAATATGATGAATGGATTACACTTCTCTGTGCTTGAAATCTCTCTATGAATCTCTTTCTCCCAATGCTGCCATTGTCTAATCTACAAAAAGCATTATAGAATTATATTCATCCATCTTTATGGAGAATGTGTATATTCCTGCACAAGAAAATAAGCAAGTTTCCTAACTTTACCCTGGCTCCTCCCAGAACCATAGTGGTAGCACTAAACACTACATGAGCAACGGCAAGTACAAAGATAAAGATGTGTAGCTGATGCAATGCTTCAAGAGAAAGCAACTGAACCTTGCCCTGTAATTAAACAATTAAAATCAAAAGATTCAGAATTCCCACGTAGAACAATTAGGCAATACAACACAACGAGACACTTGGGGCTTATTTGGGATTACTTTTGTTTTGTTTTTTTTTTTTAATTTTTGCTCCTACTTTTATTTTAAAAATATGTTTATTTGGTGCATTTTTATGTATATATATTTTATAAAAACAAATCAGTATGTTTTCAAAAAACACTCGAACATCTAAAGGTTGTTTCAAGTGTTCTTAAATACACTGAACATATTATACTGTATCGAACATAAATTGTTTTAAATCAAAACAAAAAAACTAAAAATATAATATAAAATCAAAAGTGATTCCATATTTCTTCAGTTATTACCAAAGCATGCACATGGCCAAAGAAAATAAAAAGTAAACAAAAAATGCATGATTTGGAAGGATATCTAAAGAGTGCATTTCCAAATCATGCATTCTTGGGAACAAAATTACTCGGTTAATATTGGCATTAAGGTCTATGAATATATCTCAGGCATCATAATATTTATGTTTGTAAATCCCCGTTTCAAAAACTAGGACAAAAGGAAATGAACAATTGTAAAAAGAAACAAAAAAGCGAAGAAGAGGAAGCGAGGAGTTAGATAGTCAAAGAAATGAGAGATGAAACGGAAGGATTGGGAAACCAAGGAGGTCAGTTCGCCTATAAATTGATGTGAGACAATGGGAGATCCGGAAGTAGAAGAAACCCTAGGAGTCGAGCGACGTGCAAAGGAGAGGAGGATAGCGCGGGAGAAGTACTAGCTGGCGACGAGGTCGGAGGAAAGATTGGCATCGAGGTCGAGTAGTGGAGAGGACGACGGTGACTCCTCAAGCAGGACGGAGCCGAGCGTAGAGGAAGGAGTTGTGCTTCTATGGGTAAGGGCTTCGACCAACCAGCAAAGAAGAAGAGAAAGAAAGGAGGCGTCGCACCGAGAACTTGTGCGAAAGAAGAGCAATCGTGTGGTTTTTCCTACCGCGAGAAGCTAAGTCCTAGCTTGCTATCAAGGAGGAAACGAGGGAGATCCCTCGTACGAAAAAAATTATTGTATACGGGCACCGCATGCAGAAATGCATTCGGTGTCCGATCTTCAGGTTCATCACAGCAATGGTCTATAACAATGGGCCCTATTTTTATTTTTTTATAATTACAAAAAATTTGATGAACGGTGGCGATCAGATACCATATGCATTTTTGCATATGGTGTCCGTATGCAATAATTTTTCCATACGTTGTTTGACAAAATAGGTGAGGGTTTTATTTAAGTGATTTAATTATAATAATAAAAATAATATAACAAAATTAATATATATTTATATATTTAATATAAAAATAAGCATGATTATATAAAGTAAAATATTGAAAATTTTTAGCTAATTAAAATAATTTAAATTATTAAATTTGCAATAGCATAATCAATTAAATTTTAATATGAATATCATGTTTATTTTAGGAACGATTATTGCGTCAAGACAAATTTATGTCTGGTGTCCAAATTAAATTGTCCACCTGCAAATATGGGGCCCAATGAAATACACATTTTTTTGTTGTTTTTTAAAAGAGCGAGACCCACCTTCCAAGTGGCCATTTTTAATTGGACATCGGACGCAAATTTATTTCGGGTGCCCTGACCCAATACATTTTCCTATTTTAGGTATTTCATTTTAGATAAGTCGACGTCAAGACAAAACAAATAACAAATTAATCGACATTGAGATGAGTACTCGTGTTTTTATTCTATGATAATATTTTGTTTCTTCTTGACCAAATGCATTGACTAGTACATTCATTAGTTATATTGAAATCACTGCAAACTCATGATTTTGAATTCTAGTGAATTTTTGTTCATATTGTAGGAAATATATGTGTGCACATCATTATTAAATGATTTGAATGTTATACAAATGAAAAATGAATATTTTTTTTATTATAAAGTGATATTTTCATTGAATACTAGTATGAGTATGATTGACTATGATGGAATCACTCCTTGATAGTATTAGTGGAGAACACTAATATACTCGTGCATGTATATAGAAAATGTTATTAATATTAAAGAACATTAATTAGTAAAACTTTTAGACGGTACTCATGTGACGGTTGTATAGATATAAAATGATATTGATAAGTTATTAATATAGTAGACTCTTTGAATAGCATCAAATATTTATATTGATTTATTAAAACGTTTAACTAACATGTATATTATTTTCTCTTGTATTACTAATAATTGAGGGGTATCAGTATTCACTACTTATTTGGCTCACCGTTATTTTTAAACAAACTTTTTAAGTAAATTTTAAATAATTAGAAGATGAGCGATAGAAAAAAAATATATATTTATAGAAGACAGCATATTGGCAACGCTCTTACACATGAGGCCAAGCTTCACAGCCATCTGAGGGATCCTTGATTGTGGTCTAATCAATGTCAAGAGATAAAAGGACTTTTGTTCTAGATAGTCCATTTTAAGATTCTAATAAAATCAACTAATTCATTTTAATTTACAATTTTGATATTGTAGCTGTTTATATGATTTAATCTACAGTAGCAAATCCAAAACTCCTCTTTAGGTTGCATGCAAAGGGTTGATTAAATGAATGGAAGGAATTAATATATATATATATATATTTGTCTGTGTGTGTGTGCGTCGCATACTCAGATCAGTTGATCGGGCAATTGCTTATCAGATGTAAGTCCCCCCTGTCTACGTTTCGATTCCCCCCGGTGGACGGTGTGGTGCTCAAATTGTTAGGCGCATCGGGGATGGTCGGAGCGCATATAATAGCCTCAGACCATTCCTTTGAATATATATATATATATATATATATATATATATATAGAGAGAGAGAGAGAGAGAGAGAGAGAGAGACACACACACACACACATATATCCTAAGATATTCCTTGTTATCTCTTTCGCTTCACTCAGTTCCACAATCTGGGCAATCTCGTGTGTAAAGCGAATTGGAGCGGCGAAATAGAGCCATGCCTTGGGTTTGGATAGCTGGGGAGAAAACGAAAGTGTTGACATAAATTAAAGGATTTGATGTATAGTAAGTAATGTATATGAATACTTATACTGAATTACTTTTAGTTTATAATTAAAATCAAAAATTTATTTTATTTTTCTATTCGTTGTGAACTACAGCCTAGAAATAAAGAACAACTCTCAGGTAGGTAATGTGAGAGGAAAAAATGAGTCTTTTATATATAATTAATAAATATAAACGATTATAATAAATTTCATTTTATCTTGAAGCTTTTTAAATTTATGTTAACTTTGTTGTGAACAATATTCGTTTTAGCTGTAAGAATCGATAAGAGAATAAAGAGGAAGAGAGGAAGAAAACACTTGAATGCGGGGAAATCATTTAGAAGTAAAATCAGCAAAATGAACAGTATTTTTATATCACGACCCGGAACAAAGCATATAATTAATCAAGACGGGAATGGACGATCAGATGGTATGAATTGAATTTTCTATATTAACTAACAATATAACATATGAAAAAGTTACTACAAATAAATTAAAATGGAATAATTTATAATTACCTCGTCGATGGTTGTCTGTGTCGTCTACAAAAGTTTTCTCTTCTATCGCTCGTCTTTTAATCACTTAATTAACCTAAAAAGTTAGTTTGAAAATAATAGAAGTTAAACAAGCTAGTGAATACTCATATTTATAAACTACAACAAAACAATGAAGAGCAATAATAATATGCATGCTAGTTAAATCTTTTCATAAATCAATATAAACAATTGACATGGTCTATATTATTCTTATCAATATTATTTCATATTTATACAACTGTCACAGGAGGCACCGTCTAAAATTTGAATCACTTAAGATGCTTCAATGTTAATATTTTTTTTTTTTTTCATTTACATTCACGGGTATATTAATGTTCTCTCATTAGTATCATTGAGGAGTGCTCCATCACAGCTAGTCATGCACATACAAGCAGTCAATATAAATATTTGTATTCATAGCATTTAATTCAATCTACCATATAAAACATACATCAAAAGTATTAATAAGTAGCTACAAGATCCATAACGATATGACCAAATAAAAAAAATAATATCTCATTCAGAATAAAGCATAAAAATTTCATCAACTGCAAACATATTTGAGAATAAACAATTTCTTATCTTTTCATTACTTAAGTGTAATCATACTTAATTTCTATTATATAGATATATATATATATATATATATA